TTGAACCGCCAGCCTTCTGGTTAGCAGTCAAGTGCTTTAGCCATTATGCTATACCTTATCTACTAAACCACCAGAGCAGTAATTGGATCAGGGGGAAAAATCCTTAATTTAAGAACTCATTTTACTACTTACCTCTTAGTTTTAATAAGTAGCCAGAGATAATTTTCTTTTTTCTTTGGTGCTTTAAAAGGTTAGAAAGAGGCAGGATTAAACATACCAAATGTGAAAAAGTGTATAAATAATCCACTGCCATTGAGTCGATTCTGACTTATAGTGGCCTATAGGATTTCAAAGCTTGTAAATCTTTTCAGAAATAGATTGCCTCATCTTCCTCCCACAGAGCTGCTGGTGGGTTTGACCACTAACCTTCTGGTTAGTAGCCAAATGCCTTAACCACTGTGCCACCAGCACCTTAAGTGAACAAATAGTATTTTTGGAAGGCTAAAACAAGGTTCCACAGTTCACCCAGAAGTTGCTTTCTAGGAACATCTACATAATCTACAATAACTACACTTGCCCTTCTTTTCTGTGGTGCACTGGCCCTTGCTACCTGGATGGCCCTGCTGCTTGTGGATATAGTCCAGTTGCACACACATATACTCTATGTAGTGAGTTTGCAGTCCACGTGAAATCCAACCAGCATCTCATCCCCCTTTTAATAGGGTACTGATCTCTGTTGAGTTCTTGAGTGGCATAAATTGTTATGTTCTTGGCCCCGAACCTAAAGATTGGCAGTTCAAATCCAGAGGCCCCATGTAAGAAAGGTTTGGTGATCTACTTCAGAAAATCACAGCCTATTCTACACTGACACATGGAGTCACTTTGAGTTGGAATTGACTCAAGGGCAACTGGTGTGGAGGTTTTTTGGATCTCTGTTCTAATACCTTGCACAGGTTTCTTGGTCATCCAAAACTCATTGCTGTCGAGTCTCCTCTGACTTTATAGGACGGAGTAGAACTGGCCTGTAGGGTTTCCAAGGCTAATCTTTGGAAACAGACTGCCAGATTTTTCTCCCATGGAGCAGCTGATGGGTTTGACCACTGACCTTTGTGTTAGCAGCTGAATGCTTAACCGCTGTGCCACCAGAGCTCCTTTCTTGCTCATAGTTGCCTCCATTTCTTTATAAAATCAATCAGTTTGGCATCTTTATTATAAGGTTTATTAAAATGAGATAGGGCAAGTTCTTTGAATCAAAGTTAATGTTTAAATACAACATCTGTTTTTCCTCTCCTTCAGCAAACCAAGAGGAAGCTGGATGATGCCAGTAAACGTTTGGAGTTTCTCTATGATAAACTTAGGGAACAGACAGTAAGTTTTTGGGAAAAGGATTTATGATAATCATCTCTTCCTAGTTGCCAGTACAGAAGTGGACCCTAACTCTAAAATAAGTGTCTCATTTAGCACTCTCATTTAGTATGCTTAGGGGCAAAATTGTCATGACAGTTACAGAATGAGCTTTCCTCTCTAAATTTTAAATTCATTCATTTGGGATAGAAGAATGTGTGTATGTGAGAGAGAGAGTGTGTATAATTTTAACCTTTCTTATAACAAATGAATGAAAAATACAAACTGGCCTATATTGGCACTAAGGTAATTGACCTTCTTTGTATGTTTTCTGTGTCCTTTGAATCAAGAAATCAGAGAGTGGGAAGATACTCCATTGTCTAGAGACCAAATCTATAATCTTTCTCATAGTCAAAAGTGCCTGACCCTTTTCTTCTGGAATAGCTGTTACACAAAGGCAAAGCCAGATGTCGCCTCAAGATGAGAAGGGTAATGGGCTGTAACTGTGAACACAGCCAGCAGCAAGGAGTCAGTGCACTGTTCTGTGTCCCCACCTCTCTTTTTCTTTCTAGAATTATTTCGTTTCACTAATGAAGGCACTGGGATAGAGAGGGGAAAAAGAACTGGGACTTTCTTTTTCTATTTTTATATTTTAGCACTCCATTACCCCATTCCGCACACCCAGTCCTATCAGATGACGGTAACTATTTCCCTCATGAGGACTAAACCAGTGAAAGTTGAAATAAACAACAAAACTGGTGTGGCCTCATTGAAAATAAAGTCCTCTCTCAAAAGTAAAGCCATGTATTCCAAGTAATGACATGGAAAAAAGGACTACAGGTCATAGGGTTCTGAGAGTGGATGGTGAGAATTATAAAAGGCAGTTAAGAATTGGTGAGTTGAGGCCTGTGGCCCTACTAAATGGAAGTGGACCAAAAGTTCAGTCTATAGAATAAATTGGGTCCTTATTTTAAGATATGATTAAGATTCTTTAATCTCCTTCATGTGCATAAGGAAATTTTTTAAAGGTATGAGGCTATATCTAAAACGATAGAAGGATTAAAGCCTTTAAGTGGAGAGAGACGTTAGCTTGTTAGCTCATGGTGAGGAAATCTGGCTTCCTTTCTAAAGTAGGAAAATACCTGGCTTACATGTATAATTCGTAAATAATTTCTCTACACAAATTATTTTGTTATGGCCTGTTTTATAACAAATAGAAACAAATAGTTTCTATATTTTTGGAAGTGCTAAATGGTTTATATACTTTTTTATGTTTATTCAGACCCCTTTTGGATATCTGAGTTTAATATTTGTAGGAGGTCTTACAGGAAATTGTCCTTTAATTCTTTCTCTTGGTTCTGCCTTTATTTCAGCTGTCACCAACAATCATTAATGGTTTACACAACATTGCAAGGAGCATTGAAACACGAAACTACCCAGAAGGATTGACCATCCATACCCACATAGTCAGCACCAGCAACTTCAGTGAGACCTCTGCTTTCATGCCAGTTCTCAAAGTTGTTCTCACCCAAGCTAATAAGCTGGGTGTCTAAAAGGACAACTTCACTCCCCTCCAATATTGCCATTTTCCAAAGAAACACATTTAAAAATATGATAAGATATGGACCAAGTTTCAGTCCTCACTACGATGTCTCCATAGCTGCCAGTCAAGAGCATTTATTGCTGTTTCTGCAGATATATTCACCTTAGAACTGCCCAAGAGCCTGGTGCTTTTTTTTGTTTTAATCTTCTGTTGCCTATGATGATTTTCCTATTCTACAAATAGTATATTTCCTGGATTATACATATATGGTTTCCTGAAGTATTCTGATAAAATGTAGTTTTTAAAAGTTCAATATACTTTTTGGAAAGAGCATCTGGTTATGCATAAAGCAGAGTTAAAACTAAATTTCTTTCATGTCCTCCCACCTCACTCCATGTCAATCAGATTAAAGTGTGTAATCCTGTTTTATGTGTGTGTAGTCTTTTTTTTTTCAAACAGCTGATTACAGTTTAAGCCCTATTTTTTGTGTTTTAGGTTTCACTCTGGTCCTGATGAAACAGCTAAATCTAGAAGCTATTCATAGATTATGTTGTTGTTGTTGTTATGTGCTGTCGAGTCGGACCCGCCTCATAGTGACCTCTCCTTGGGTTTCCGAGGCAGTATCACTACGGAAGTAGATTGCCCAGCTTTCCTTCCGAGGAGTGGCTGGTGGGTTTGAACCGCCAGCCTTCTGGTTAGCAGTCAAGTGCTTTAGGCACTATGCTACCAGAGCTCCTATTCATACATTTTAGCAAATGTTAATGAAAACTGGGCCACTAACTTTAAATATCTGTAGGAAAAGACAGCATTTTCATTCTGTAGAATACATTGAACTTTTATCTATTATCTATTAATGAATGTTTTCTGTATTCTAAAATTGAATTTCTATATTGTTTAAGGTTTAATTCATAAAGAAACTTTAATTTGTTGACCCCCTGAATCAAAGCCAGGCAATTTTCAACTAGTTTTTCTGTCAAGAGATTTTATTATAATCTAAGAATAGTGTGATAAACAAAAGGCAGTGGTCCCATAGAATCTCGAGAAAGGAGAATTGGATACTAATCATTTTTCATTAATTATGTAATCAATGAAACAGAAAAACAATATAAAATTGTGGCCACTATGTAGATAGATACTCGGTTTGAGGAGTGAGAGTAGTTCATCGGGCTCCTCTACAACTTGAGTGAGAGAGTTTGCCAGAACAGCCCAGTTCCCTTGCTGAGGTTTCATGAAATAAAAATCTTTTTAAGAATTGTTGGCTTCATTGAGTTGATCCTGACTCATAGCAACCCTATGGACACAGTGGAAATGCCCTACAGGCTTTTCTAGGCTGTAGTCTTTGTGGGAGCAGATTGCCAGGTCTTTCTCCCGTGGAGCCCTGGGTGAATTTGAACCACTGATCTTTCAGTTAGCAGCAAAGAGTGCTTAATCATTGTGCCACCAGAGCTCCTCTTTTTAAAAATTAACCAAACTCAATTTTATAGCTCAGAATAGTTTTTTAAAAAAACTGAAAGAGGTACTTGATAGGTGCATGAGCATTAGCGTCTCAGGAATAGAAAATCTAGACATAGCAGCTGATACACTGGCACCTTTCTCAGTCTCCTGTGAGTCTGGCAGTGTGTCAGTTCCACTACACACTGAAGTGACAGTAGTTTCCTTCCCTCTGGATATATCTCCACATAACAGATGACCTTCTCTGATCACTTTTTCTTCCTGAAGGAATCTTTGGGGGTGAGAACAGACCAGTTTTAACAGGCCTTAGTCAAGCCCACATGAGTTCTCTTCTGGTGTATACTGCTGGGATACATTGATTGAAGGGATCCAACATTCACTTGAACTAGGAACTGATGTAAAGCATTTAAGATTTCTCAATCCTAACACCAGCCTACAGAGCTAAATAATTAGTCCAGTTGCCCAGCACAGCTAGTAAGCAGTGAAATCTGAAAGTTTGGCGACCCATCTTTTTTTTCATAAAGCCATATTGTTTCTCTAAGACAAAAGGGACTGTGATTATTATAATGATAACATTTATTAAATTATTTTGTGTGTTGGCTTCAGGAAGATTCTTTTCACATAGTGGGAAAGATACTTCCTGCAGTCCAAAGTCTGTATCTCCACAGTCTGTCGTACGCAAAGGGAAAAGAAACCTACTCACAGTATCTGTATACTACTCACAGACAGCTCTGATTGGCTGTTTGTGTTCTATGCCCACTACCTGTACAAGCTTTGTGCCCAGGGAGGTAGAGTACTACAAATGGCCAGCCCAGGTAGTTTGGCCACCCTGATGTGAACACAGTGGTTTTAAGCCCCACCAGGACCACAGGGAGTGGTTCCCCAAAGGAAAAGGTACAATATAGAGAAGGGAAGAAAAAAAAAAATAGGCCAAAACAGCCAAGTACCAACTGTAGCTCACCACAGGAAAGAGTTAAAGTACCAATGTTTTGGACTGGAGCTACTATGGAGCTCAATTTAATTCCAACTGCTATAAAATGTCATCTTGAACAGTGGTAGAAGAGCACTGTTTTGCTTCTGTATCCTGCTGTTACAGAAATGCCACAAATGGATGGCTTTAACAGGAATTTATTCTCTTAAGTTTAGGAGGCTAAAAGTCTGAGTTCAAAGTGCCGGCTCTAGGGGCTGGATGAAAGCCCCTCAACCTTGGGTTCCAGTCTTGCCCCCTGTTCAGGTCCACTAGAGCTGGAGGCGTTTTCTGACTTGCGCAGCTGCTAGCTGTGTTAATTGATTCAAACAACACGTAAAATGGCACAGCCCCAAGTTTAGCAGACAACACAGCAAGCCACTAGTTCAAGTCCAGGAACAATCCCAAGTGGGGCAGGCAGTATGACAGCCACTGAGATGAAGACTCAGCCAAATGCAGGATCCAGATGTGCCAAAAAGTTAAAAGAGACCTTTCTCAAAGCTCCTTATACGCTAGAAACAGGCCCACAGCAGATTCCACTATGGAGCTGATTACCAGTCTCATCATGGGGAATAATTACATCCAGCTGCTCAGCCAAGTTCACATACAAGGTTAACTACCATGAGCACCCAGCTGGGAGTAAGGGAATTGAGCTCTAGTGTCTTCTCCCACTTACTGCTAGTCAAACCATCTTTCTGCCTTCATGTCTCCATCTATCAAATTAGCCAAAACAAAAACCAAACTCAGTGTAGTCAAATTGGATCCGACTCATAGCGACCCCTTCTTGGGATTCTGAGGCAGTATCACTACGGAAGTAGATTGCCCAATCTTCCTTCCAAGGAGTGGCTGGTGGGTTTGACCCATCAGCCTTCTGGTTTGCAGTCAAATGCCTTAGGCACTCTGCTACCAGAATTTCACTTCTAGCTCTGGAATTCTGCAATACATCTACTCCCACAGTGGTCTTGTGATTATCTAAATTTTCAGAACAAATGAAAAATTGGGATAAGCATCAACACTTTGAATAAAGGTAAGAATAACTCAAACCTATTTGTATTTGGATGCCTTCTTTTCTCTTGCAGAATTGATTTGATTTATGATCAGGAAAAAAAAAAAATCAACTTTCCTTGGTTAGAAATAAATGGCAGGCATTACAGAGGTGGTTTGTAATTTGAAGGCTTGGGGCAGATTTGCTTGGCCTTGAGGTCCTTATGCAGTTAATCCTCATCAATAACGATGTATATTTCCATGAAATTAATCTTTCTGTATACCTTTTTTCCTACACCAAGAATAATTTAGATTTGAGGGATTCTGGTAGCATAGTGCCTAAGGCACTTGACTGCTAACCAGAAAGCTGGTGGTTCAAACCCAACAGCCACTCCTCGGAAGGAAGGTTGGGCAATCTACTTCCGTAGTGATACTGCCTCAGAAACCCAAGGAGAGGTGGGATCGACTCAAGAGCACATAACAACAACAACATAGGCTACTCACAATCAGCTCATTTTCCTCAGGTGCTGCAAATCTGGGTCACCCTTTAGACATTCCTGACCTCTATTTACAAAGACCCCTCCCCACTAGAGAAAAATGGGGCCCTTGCCTTTTAAGAGCAGCCTGTGATAACTGACACAGCAGAAGAGAAAGAGGTCATTGAAACAAATAACAGCAGCTATTATTGAGAAATAGTTTCTCTATGTTTATTTATCCTTAGAAGCCAGAATAACTCATAAGAAAATGGAATATTCATGGGAGGAGGGGAACTGGAGAGCTGGAAGAGTTTATGGGTGAAAACCCTGTCATTACTGTCTTATCACAGTCATGTTGTTGTTGTTACATGCCATCGAGTCGGACCGACTCATAGCGACCCCTTCTTGGGTTTCCGAGGCAGTATCACTACAGAAGTAGGATTGCCCAACCTCCTTCCGAGGAGTGGCTGGTGGGTTTGAACCGTCAGCCTTCTGGTTAGCAGTCAAGTGCCTTAGGCACTATGCTACCAGGGCTCCCTGTCACAGTCATAGGGACTGTTAATTTATTTCAGAGAGCTGGCATTTGGGAGCAGGGAGCAAGGCAGAGTGGAGAAGAGTGTGGTCAGGATTGTGGACCTTGTTTCTAACCAGGCGTCAGTTAAAGGTAGAGATGGAGTGCTGGTATTACATGCTAATATGCCATAACTGGGTGTTTAAAAGGACGATTAGTGATTCTCCCATAGCATTTGTTGTTGTTTGCCGTCGAGTCGGCCCCGACTCATAGCGACCCCTCCTTGGGTTTCCGAGGGAGTATCACTACAGAAGTAGGATTGCCCAACCTTCCTTCCGAGGAGTGGCTGGTGGGTTTGAACCACCAGCCTTCTGGTGAGCAGTCAAGTACCTTAGGCACTATGCTACCAGAGCTCCTCCCATAGTATTTACTGCAGTTTATAGTAGTAGTTGATTAAAGAGACCTGGTGGCATAGTGGTTAAAGTACTCAACTGCTAACCAAAAGGTTTGTGGTCTGAACCCATGAGCCGCTCTACAGTAGAAAGATAAGACAGTCTGCTTTTGTAAAGATTTACAGCCTTGGAAACCCTTTGGGGCATAGCAACCTACAGGGTTGCTATGAGTCAGAGGCAATTTGATGACCATAGGTTGGTAGGTGGCACAATAGTTAAGTGCTTGGCTGCTAAGCGGTAGGTTGGTGGTTCAAGCCCACCAGTTGCTCTGGGGAAGAAAAAATCTGGCCATCTGCTCTTGTAATGATTACAGCCTGGGAGAGAGACCCTATGGAGTAGCCCTACTCTGTCTTGTAGGATTGCTTTGAGTCAGAATCGACTCAGCACACATTATTTGATTACTATCTGCCTCCTATACTGCATTATTCATCCCACAAGCACAGAGCCATGTACTCTGATGTCATTAAAGTTGTGTTCAATGCTTGGCTCCTAGAGGAGATGCAATAAATATATTGAATGAAGGAATCTTAATTGATCAAACTCGAGATAATTTGGAAAGATGCAAAAGGCATCATACTGCT